CCACAGTGCGGCGTTCTTCACCGAGACGACCGGGTCACGAAAACGAATCGAGTTACAAGTCGGATTTGTGGAGCTGGAGACGCCAAGAATTCATGTTTTTTAGCTCTTAAACTCCTAAAATTCAATAAAAGTAATGTAATGCCATACTGTGGAACATTCCAGGCAGTTATAATGTTGTCTCCATGGTGACAAATCCAACCACGAGAAGGCCGACATTGTGGACATTTTAATATTTTGACCAAATCTAGTTTTACATTTTGAATATTTCTTGATTCATTTCAGCGCTCGGATGATTTACCAGTTTGTTTAAAGATTGTTTTTCGGTAAATTAACTCTAAAACTAGTCTAAAATGGTGGAGAGTTCGCCACCTGCTTGTCTCCACGGTGATGAAATTACAACCTAGAATGTTCCACAGTACGGCGTTCTTCACCGAGACGACCGGGTCACGAAAACGAATCGAGTTATAAGTCGGATTTGTGGAGCTGGAGACGCCAAGAATTCATGTTTTTAGCTCTAAAACTCCTAAAATTTAATAAATGTAATGTAATGCCCTCCTGTGGAACATTCCAGGCAGTTATAGCGTTGTCTCCATGGTGACAAATCCAACCACGAGAAGGCCGACAGTGTGGACATTTATTTCGGCGCTCGGATGATTTACCGGTTTGTTTAAAGATAGTTTTTTTGTAAATTAACTCTAAAATGAGGCTAAAATGGTGGAGAGTTCGCCACCTGCTTGTCTCCACGGTGATGAAATTACAACCTGGAATGTTCCACAATACGGCGTTCAAAATCTACCTTCATCGAAAAGACCAAGTCACGAAACCGAGTTGAGTTACAAGTCGGATTTGTGGAGACGGCGATGCCAAGAATTCAAATTTTTAGCTCTAAAACTCCTGTGATTCAATAAATGTGACATAGATCAGTTTAATGCCACACTGTGGGACATTCCAGGCAGTGATAACGTTGTCTCCATGGTGACAAAACCCACCACGAGAAGGCCGACAGTGTGGACGTTTTAATATTTTAACCACATCTAGTTTTACATTTTGAACATTTCTTGATTTATTTTGGAGCTCGGATGATTCACCAGTTTATTTAAAGATTATTTTTCGGTAAATTCCCTCTAAAATTAGTCTAAAATGGTGGAGAGTTCGCCACCTGCTTGTGTCCACGGTGATGAAATTACAACCTGGAATGTTCCACAGTACGGTGTCCAAAATCTATCTTAACGAAGACGACCAGGTCACGAAACCGGGTGGGATTTGTGGAGACGGAGACGCCAAGAATTCATGTTTTTAGCTGTAAAACTCCTGGAATTCAATAAATGTAAGGTAGATCAGTTTAATGCCATACTATGGAACATTCCAGTCAGTTATAGCGTTGTTTCCATGGTGACAAATCCAACAACGAGAAGGCCGACATGTGTGCACATTTTAATATTTTAACCACATCTAGTTTTACTCTTATAAACGTTTTGAACATTTCTAGATTTATTTTGGCGCTGGGATGATTTACCAGTTTATTTAAAGATTGTTTTTCTAAAATTATTTAGAAATCGCCAACTGCTTGTGTCCACGGTGATGAAATTGCAACCTGGAATGTTCCACAGTACGGCGTTCTTCACCGAGACGACCAGGACACGAAAACGAATCGAGTTACAAGTCGGATTTGTGAAAACGGAGACGCCAGTAATTCAAGTTTTTAGCTCTAAAACTTCCTGCAATTCAATAAATGTAACGTAGATCGGTTTAAAGCCATACCGTGGAACATTCCAGTCTCCATGGTGACAAATCCCACCAGGAGAAGGCCGACATGTGTGCGCATTTTAATGTTTAAACCACATCTAGTTTTACTCTTATGAACATTTTGAACGTTTCTTGATTCATTTCGTCGTTGGAAAGATGTACCGGTTTATAGATTGTTTTTTTGTTTTTTGTTTGTAAATTAACTGCTTGTTTCCATGGAGATGTCATCGCTTTCTCTGGCATGTTCCATAGTACGACATGTCAGCATTTCCATCTAGAATTTATTCACTACGTTTATTCATTTTCTGTTGGTCAAAAATACAAGAACTCCTCCTGTGAATATGGGCGATTTTCTGAGGGTGACCAGATTTACAAAATTCTAAACTCGGACACATCCGGGTTGGGATGTTTGGTGTAAATAAAACTGTGAAAAGAGCGTTGAACATTGTGCGTTCTCACGTCAGTCATGATCTGAGACACTTCTGACGCTGCATTTTTTTTTGCTTCATGGTCATTTTCAAAGACGGTTTTCTGTATTTTGGCGAAACAAATGATCATTGATGCTCCTCTTTACTGTTGGCGAGGATCTGATTAGTCAAAAATTGTGATAATCCTGGTTTAGAGCTGATGTAGTCCTGGTTTAGTCTTGAGATGGGTGCACACTGCGTGATTTTTGGTCCTTTTTGAGTCGAGTCGCGTATTCACATAATCGTGCAGTAAACATGAGGTAACGAGAACCAATTAATCCCTCACGACCAGCTCCTGATCGGCAATCGTAGGTCGCAAGAAAATCCAACCTGTTTGAAATAAAAGCAAAGTTTATCTGAGAGTCTCGGAGCTCCTTTTTTATCCAGTAAGTTATGGATCTCCGAAGAACACCTGATTATTATTATTTCACTTCAGCGGTGATTTAGTGAGCGTCTGACGACCATCTACTTCATTGCACTGCACTTTGGAATCCGAGTTTCGCTCTGTTGAAATCGTTCGTGAAGTGGTTAGTCATAAAACCTGTTGGCGAGGATCTAATTAGTCAAAAACTGTGATAGTCCTGGTTTAGACCTGATGTAGTCCTGACATTTTATGACATTTTTTGTAAGTTGATTTCACTTTTTCATTGCTTAGTCGTTACATAAACCCGTCAAAACGATGATATTTACTGATTTTTATAAAGAAATACAATTAATATTATGCAGAATTGAGTTAAGCTTTTAGGCCCTCGACAATATTTTCTGTTTCTCGAGTCGCCCCCATGGAAAAAAAATAAATAAAAAAATCCTCTGAGCTGTTGGCGAGGATCTGATTAGTCAAAAATTGTGATAATCCTGGTTTAGACCTGATGTAGTCCTGGTTTAGACCTGATGTAGTCCTGGTTTAGACCTAATGTAGTCCTGGTTTAGACCTGATGTAGTCCTGGTTTAGACCTGATGTAGTCCTGGTTTAGACCTGATGTAGTCCTGGTTTAGTCTTAAACCGAGCGTACACTGCGGTTTTTCTAGACCAGACCTGGGCGTTGTCCAACTCCAAAGCCACATATGGACCTTTTTTGACTCTGACTAAACCGTTTAAGCAAATTTTGAATTACAAAATTACAATATTTTATCATTTTACCTCATACCTGGACTAAAGCTGCGTTGCTTTTATTGTAGAGGAGTTTTTTTATGACATTTTTTATAAGTTGACTTCACTTTTTCATTGCTTAGTCATTACATAAACTCATCAAAATGATGATATTTACTGATTTTTATAAAGAAATACAATTAACATTATGCAGAATTGAGTTAAACATTTAGGTCCTCGATGATGTTTTCTGTTTCTCGTGTCGTCCCATGGAAAAAAGAAACAAAAGCTCCTTTGAGCTGCTGGCGAGGATCTGATTAGTCAAAAAATTGTGATAGTTCTTGTTTATATTTATAATTTTACCTCATGCCTGGACTAAAGCTGCACTGTTTTTAATTTAGAAGTGTTTTTTTATGACATTTTTTGTTCGGCAGCTTCACTTTTTCATTGCTTAGTCGTGAAATAAACTCTTACAGGTCTGAGCAGCTCGTCAAAACAATGATATTTACAGATTTTTATAAAGAAATACAATTAATATTACGCAGAATTGAGTTAAACACTATGAATATTTTCAGTTTCTCGTGATAAAATAACTCTTCGCTCCGTTCTCGACAAAGCAATAACGTTTCCGTAGAGACGATCGGGTCGCGGACGCTCCACTAGAAACGCTACACAGTGCATCTTTAACGTGAACATTTCTGTATCGCCGTTTTCGTTTTTGCCTTTTGGATTTTCAGCCGTGGAAATCTGCCCTTCCGGAGTGATGTGGAGCGAGCAGGAAGGAGCGGGCGCACTCACCCAAGTCATCAATAAATAAATAGTGTTCTCCACTATGTTTACCCTGTGTCGATGATGTGCTAAAAACAACGTTAAGGTGTCCGACCGCGAGTTTGTTTGGAGATGTCGACAGCTAGGCGCACGTGTCAGCCAAAAACAACTAGTGTGGTTTTTTTTTTGAGCTTTCGAGCTAAACCCTGTAACATCGGTGAGAGGGGGGGGGGGCGCCGATGGACCTGTGTGTGTGTGCGCGGGGCCTGGTCTGTGGAGGATTGTGGGTAATGTAGTTAAAACAATGGAAGAGCCACAGACAGGGAGGAGGCCGAGGAGTGGTTTCGCTCGGAGGTTTGGCACGCTTTGGCACGGCACGGCACGGTTTAGATGGGTTTCAACTGTCGAGAAGGTAAGTACGCTTAATTTGAACCATATTTAATATTTATAGGTAGTATTTTTGTACTCATTTTAAGTAAAGGAATTAAACCAGTAATAGTAATGCAAAATTTAACAAAAAGTCTTCATGATTCAAGAACTTTCTGATGCTACAGGGAAGAAATATTTCATCTTCGTTAATTCATACCGACAGTGAACAAAATAGAACTTAGAAACATAAACTGGGTCCAAACAAATTTTTCTCCGAACATTTTTTACAATTAATTCACTTCTTGAAAATCTTATGACATCACCCGAACACAATTTATACCAAATGTGCCAAATATTGAATCCCAAACTAAAATTTCCTGTTCATTTGATTGAATTTGTACGTAACCGCGCCGTACTGTGAGAAACAATACCAGACTGTTGAGCCAAACCACAACTCCAGCCAAAGATTTACTGTTAACAACAACAGGTAGAGTGAGGGCAGAGACAGAGAGAGAGGGGCACCCAGGGGTGCAGTGCGTCTGAGGGGGGGCTGGCGGGGGTCTGAGGAGGGGGGCTGGACTACAGAGTGTGCAGCCTGCAGGAGAGAGACGGCGGCGCGTGTGGGCATCGTAAATCTAAGCACATCGTTAAGTGGCCATTAAAATCTCAACTATGTAATTTAAGAGGAGGAGGAGGAGGGAGGGAAAAGGAGGATGGGTGGAGGAGGGGGCGGGGCCTGGTCTGGAGCTTATAATTAAATCTATCCTAAACATCTAAAGCCGGTTGGTCGGAGCGGAGCTGTTCTGTGCTTTTGTCGACTAAGGAGATGTGATGAGGTTTTTGCCCTGGGAAAGCGGAGAGACGGGAGCAGAGGAGCACTGATGTGCCCCCCCCCCACGCCTCAACGCCCCCAGGAGCCTCTGTGCTCAGGTCAGACCTGAGGACCTGCTGGACCTGAAGGACTGGAGTGAGGAGATTCTAGACGGGCAGTAGCAGACTGGTATCGCCTGGCGTTACAGACCTCCACATGTGGGCGGAGCTTGTGCCAGTGTGGGCCGTGGTGGCAGTGTTTACAGCCCCTCAGTGCACAGCGCCCCCTGTGGCCCCTCTCTGTCTCTGCGCTGCTACAGTCTGACAGAGTCTGTGTGGTACAGGTGGGTCAAACCTGCTACAGGTGCGTGAGCTTGGGTGCTTCCTGGATTCTGCCCTGAGAGGAGTGGTGCGCCGACAGCTCGGTGTAGGTGGGGTGTGTGGGGGGGTCACAGGCCCCGCCCACGTGGTGCTGGTTGGCCATTGGCCCTGCTCCGTTATAGTCCATGGTCTGGTGGAGGGGGGGCGTGGGGCCCAGGTGGTTCAGACCGTACATAGAGGCCCCGGACCCCCCCATGGGCTCCTGTACGTATCCCCCTCCCTGCACGTACACGGGGCTGGCCTGCATGTTGTTGGGCGTGCCGTAGCCGCCGCTGTTGGTCTGTACTAGCGCGTGGTGGGGGTGAGGGTCGTAGTCGGGGTCCGGAGCTCCGTACTTCTGCTGGGGGGGACAGCCCTTCATGGGGACGTTGGAGTAGGCAGTGGACATGGAGTAGGACACTCCCTGGTGCTTGCTGAAGGAGGGGGGAGAGGGCGCGTCGTAGCCCCCGCCGCCCATGGGGTGCATGGAGTTGAGGAAGCCCGCGGTGGACTGCATGGTGAGGGGGGGAGAGCCCGTGGGGGACGGGCCCCCGGAGCTGGAGCTCAGGCCCTTGGACTTCTGGTCCTTCTTGTACTTCATGCGGCGGTTCTGGAACCAGATCTTGATCTGGCGCTCGGACAGGTTGAGCAGGTTGGCCATCTCCACGCGGCGCGGCCGGCACAGGTAGCGGTTAAAGTGGAACTCCTTCTCCAGCTCCACCAGCTGAGCGCTGGTGTAGGCCGTCCTCGCCCGCTTGGACGAGGCAGAAGAACCTCCTGTGGGGCTCTTCTCTCCAGGACTGGCACTGTCTCCCACAGCTGCTGCAGAGGCTGGGCACACACACAACACACGCTTCAGTAACACAACACGACAACACAACAACACAACTCAGCACAGAGAAAAGTGACTCTGGTCAGAACAGTGTGGACACGTGTAATCGGACCAGTGAAACCTGTGAAACTGAATATTAACAACACAACACAAGTGTCTGTGTGCAGAGTGTGTGAGCAGGTGAACCTCTGAACCTGTAGACCTGTAGAGAGACTGTTCACAGACTACACAGACTGTAGACAGACCCTGGACACACAGTGTGTCCGTGCAGCGCCCATACTGTGTCCATACTGTGGGTTAATAAACGGGGGCCGTGGGCAGAGCTGCATTAGGCTCATATTAGTTGTCAACACTTGATAAAAGTGTCAGTTATTAAGAGGCACTGAGTCTGGCCCTGGGCACAAACTGCACATGTGAGCCGAGAGACAAGGCCCCTGAGCTCCACACACACACACACACACACACACACACACACACACACACACACACACACACACACACACACACACACACACACACTCACACACACAGCTCAGAGCTCAGAGCCGCAGGGAGAGGGTCACATGAGGCTTTTCATTAGGAGCAGGATATGAAATAAACATGTACATTATGACTCTGTTTACAAGCCTCTCCAAGTGTGACTTTTATCACAATCCCAGGAGTTAAACAAACCCACCAACTAACTAAAACTATTTAATGCTGATTCATCTAAGAGCTTCACTGTCAACATAAATAGCAAATACATTTTTTAAAGTTGTTAAAAAATACCCTTCTTTTTAGTATGCACGGTTTATTTGACTTGCATAATTTTCTCTCACACTCGTCACACGACTCGTCCTTGTCACCCACCTGAGAGCCGCCCCCCGCCCCCCCGCCCCTCACCTTTGCGTTTGACATTTCATAAAGTAATTGTCTCAAATTGTCATCAATAAAGCTGCTGTCACATTCTCTCTCCGACTCATCCACTGTTCCCGTTTTAATCTCCCGCGCGCGCCTCGCTGTGTTCGGCCTTATCACGCTCAGATTACATTAGCGCGCTGGAGACGCACTAGTCCATGTTCATTTGGTCGTATCTCCAGTTTGAAGACGTCTGTTTCGTTCGCGCGTTATCGAACGAGGGATTTGAATTGGAAGCGAGTTCATATCGGGTTTATTCTCAGAGTAGAGGGGGCGGTTTCCAAGGTGAAGCGTAAACAAAAGACGGAGGGAAAAAGACGAGGTCCAAACGAAGAGTCTCGGGTAAAGGTCTGTCACTTTTAATTTATGATATATTTACGTTTGTTAGAATCGAGTTTCCTCATCGACACCGCCCCGTGTGTCTGAGGAATCACGTACGATTGGCAGCGCTGCAGTTTCCAGAGCGCAGAATACCGGGCTCCAACTTGTGATGTCATAAGGTGGCTTTTCAGGAAGTGCTTTAAAGGTCCAATATAGAACCTGCACTGCTTTAAAAACTGAATTACAATCATATCTGAACCTGGGTTAGAGCTTTAACGGGGCGGTACTAAAGAGTAGGGATGGGCACGATAATTGATCATTAAGAATTTTGTCGATTACGTTCATTTTTAATCGACAAACCGAATGTAGGTTGCTGTGCGTAGCGTAGGGTGACCAAACGTCCATTTTTCCCCGGACATGTCCGTTTTCCACATCCTGTTCTGGCCGTCTAGGTTCTTTTTTTTTTTTATAAAGTAATGCAAATGTCCTGGTTTTTGTGATCTTTCATTGGGCCATTAAACTGAGCGTCTCTCGTAGAATTTTAATCAGAGTGCATCAAATTAAAAGACTTTTTAAAAATCATATGCAAATAAGGAAGTAATAATGGTGCGTTTTTATCTTACTTGCTTGTTAGGAATATTGTGACAAACATTATTATCTGCTCTGAGCTCTAAAAGTTGTGAAAAGTGCTCAGTTAGGATGCTACGAAAAGAGAGAGGAAAGTGAAGAATAACTCAGACGCAGCGCTGAAATCGACAGATATCCTTCAGAGTGGAGGCCACGTCCCTCGAGATCATCTGGAAACTGTTTTTGCAATCAAGACGTCTCTCATCCAGAAGATATTTTACTTGTGGAACTGGTTTAAAACACTGGAAATGAATCTTACTCTGAGTTCGAAACCGTGGAAACCGTCTGATCTCGCTCTTCGCTTGACGATCGGTGGGTACTTTTTTTTTTTAACCAATCGCTGTTGTTTGGTCGTGACGTATGTAATGCACCAAATCCCGTAGGAAGAAGGACAATAACGTCTTTCCCCTTGATAAAATTCACCAAACATTCTCTTTGTTCCGGCTTTAAATCCTCAATCTCGGGAATCGTCGCCAACGCCGAATGTCTGGCTCTTCGCCGATTGGCTGGTGCCCGAACTCGCACTTCCTAAGTTCTTGTAAACCGTCTAGTGTATTCCGATTCCTGACCTAGTCCAGTCCGGCCCCGAAGAAGGAGTTTTAGAGTGAAACTGAGCTGCCCGTGTTTACAGCGAACATCACGATGGTCTTGCAGAGTTTCAGTGAAGAATAACTCAGGCGCAGCGCTGAAATCGAGGACGCATCCGAGTCTGTTTCATTCTCAGTTTATGTTCAGGCCTCGTGCGGAAGCTCAGAACCTCCAGAGTTCAATCTCTGAGCTGCAGAGGCCGCACTAGCACTGACTCAGGATTGGCTGAAGGTCCTGGGGTTTAGGTGGTGACCGTTCGGATCAGAGAGAGACATTTTAGGTGTAAACTAGAGCCTGACCGATATATCTATGAGATATGTTTGCTGATATGGGCCGATATTTCACGTGGGCATGTTATACCTCGTTATAAAGCTTTAGACTCTCTACATTATGTTCATTTAATCCAATTTACAGACAGATAAATGTCCAAATATGTGGCTCCGCATCTGTATTTATCTGTGGAGTCATTTATCTGTGTGTGTGTCCGTACTGTCCCTGAACACACCCCAGAGTCGTGTCATTCATGTGTTCGTGTTTACACTCGCAGACACAGATCCAAACACTGAGATTTGATTCTTTTTACGGACAATCGGTTTGGAGTCTGGATTAAAAGGACATTTATTAGTGCAGACTTGTGATGCGAGGAGGAGCCTGTGTGAGCGCTGAGTGTTGGAAATGTGTCGACTTTGAAGCTGGTTTTGGTTATTTGTCATTGGTTAGCGATCGAGCCGGCTGCTTTTTAGTGAGCCGAGCCAAAAGAGCCGGTTCTCTAAAAAGAACTGGAATCTCCATCATCACAAGCTGCTAGAATGTGATGCAAAAACGCCATTAGTCCGACCTACTAAATATGACGTAAAGAGGCAGAATAACAATAAATGTCGACTAAATAAACCCAATTTAAAATCCACTAGAGCCAAACCTAATTTTTTTTTAAACAATTCAAGATTCACAGTGAATTTTTACATCACTAAATATATCGGCAGCTTCAACTTCTGTCATATCGGTCACAACAAAATCCGTATCGGTCGGGCCCAGAATACCAATTTATAACACAAACAACTTGGCAATCATGTCCAACTCTTTTTTTAATATAATTAGGAAAAATTAAAATAAAAAAAGAACTAAATATTTCCATCGGCACCACCCAAACCTCGGCTGTGTCTCTATCTGCAAGCGAAGGCTCCGGCGCATTTTTCCAAGCGTGCGGTTTGTGGTTAGTCGACTGTCTGATACTTGATCCGATTGTACATTCTTACAAATATATTTCACTTTTGTTCCTCTTTTTTTTTTTTTTTTTTTTTCCAGGTATGTCCCAGAGCCAGAGCGGCGCGGTCAGCTGAGTGTGTGAACGAAGAAAGAAAAAGAAAGAAAAAAAGAGAGAAAGAGGAGGGAGAGATAGATAAAGAGGGAGTGATAGAGAGAAAGAGAGAGCCTCCGGGGGATTGTGCTGAAGATGTGATAAGGCCAATGAGAGCGAGGAGAGGAGGGGAAGGAGAAGGGAGGGAGAAGGACGGAAAGAGAGATATGAGGTGGTGAAAAGAGGAGCAGATAGGGGGGACAGCGACGAGGAGGAAGATCAACACATGTCCGCGCTCGTACAAACAGATGGACCCTGCACCGCACGAAGACGGCAGATTCAATTCCACGCTTTCATACCGGCAAAAATGACCAAAAAACACATTGAAAGTTTCGCACTATTTTCTGATCTATGTCATAATGTAGTTTCCTCCTCACAAACGGAAAAGACTCCACTGTGTTTTTAGACTCCGTACACCTTCTGGGTGATTTCAGATCTGGAATTGCGAATCTGAACTAAAAGTAAAAGGCAGGGATGGAACAATAACCCAAATATCGTGATATCGTATCGTCAAAAGTCTCGTGAGCTGCCACAATATATCGAATCAGAAGTTTCTTTGCTAAAATTCATTGTCATGGTGCAGCAACTGCTAAAAAAAAAAAACTGAGAGAACTACATAGACCATGATCCTTTGCTCTGTGTGAGTGCAAACTACACAAAGAACTATGATAAAGCACTTTTAAATTCAGTTCTTTGGATTATGACTGAACCAAAGTCGTGTCAAGGAATTTTAGAAGGAAAAAAGTCAGATATTCACAGTTTTCTTAGCCTCTATGAAAAATATCTTAATAAATATCGTGAAAATATCGCACCGAGAGATTTGGATATCATTGCATTCCCTAGTAAAAGGAGCGGTTGACTTGAAAACTACAGTTCCATGACATCACAAGGTGGAACGGAGCATTTGGAGCTTTGGAGATGTGGACAGACTAATGTGTGAGTGAAACAAAACACAACTCCAGGTCTGTTTTTGAGGAGGAAACAACATTATAACATGACTTAAGCTCACAAGAGTCAGTTTTGTGCAATATCTGGAGGTTTAAAGTGCGATCTGGACAAATATTAGTCTGGTTTCACTTTGTGGAAACCGTGTGACCTCGCAGCATTAGGATTCGTTTGCTCAACGGTTCGCGAGTACTTTTTTTATTGAACCAATCGCTGCTGTTTGGTCGTGACGTATGTAATGCTCCAAATCCCGTAGGAAGAAGGACAATAACGTCTTTCCCCTTGATAAAATTCACCAAACATTCTCAATCTCTGGAATCGTTGCCAACACAGAATGTCTGTCGTTCATCTACATACATCTCGACCCAGACAGACACGACGAGTTTGTCATGGCTACACAGCTCTTCTCTGATTGGTCGGTGCGCGATCTACAACTTCCGGAGTTCTTGCAAACCGTCTAGTAGTGTATTCTGATTCCTGACCTAGTCGCTGGAGAAAAAAAATAAATTGAGCAGAGGCACTAGGTGGCAGACTAGACAAATATGGTCTGATTTTAGAAACTTCACATTGGAAGACTGGAACATTTCTTTACAATCAAGTGAGTAAATTCCATTGGCTTCTGGCCTTTTAAACAACACTAGGTCTGATTTCACCCACTCACCCAAACATGTGGCAAAAATCCACATATGGACGTGTCTTTGTTTTTGTGTGACACCAGTTTTACAAAGCTAAACTGGTTTCTGTCATCTTCAGTCCACTATGCAACATTATGACATTATATATTTCAGAGTAGAGACAGAATCAGTTGAAATAATCTGGAAACTGTTTTTGCAATCAAGACGTCTCTCATCCAGAAGATATTTTACTTTTGGAACTGGTTTAAAACACTGAGTATTACTCTAACTCTGAGTTAACTAAAACCTAGCCTGATTCTTCAGACGGTTTCACTTCGTGGAAACCGTCTGACCTCGCAGCATTAGAATTCGTTCTCTCGACGGTCGGCGGGTACTTTTTTTATTTAACCAATCGCTGATATTTGGTCGTGATGTTTGTAATGGACCAAATCCCGTAGGAAGAAGGACAATAACGTCTTTCCCCTTGATAAAATTCAACCAAACATTCTCTTTGTTCCGGCTTTAAATCCTCGATCTCGGGAATCGTCGCCAAAACAGAATCTCTGTCTCTTCGTTGACCGAACTCACACTTCCTAAGTTCTTGTAAACTGTCTAGTCTATTCTGAGAAGGAGTTTTAGAGTGAAACTGAGCTGCCCGTGTTTACAGCGAACATCTCTGGTCTTAATCAACAAGATGCAGAGTTTCAGATCAGTTCCATCGAATATAAAATGGAAGCAAAACGTCTTGAGTGTCTAGATGATCTCTGTGGAAACCCTCTCTACTTTAAACCTCTCCTGGACCAATGAAAGATTACACCGCCTCACAGTGACGAGTGTTAACAGCCCTGTGGTATGATGTGGTCTGCAAGTGGCCACATTTACACGGCAGAAAAAAAAGGCTCATAACTAAAATAGAAAGACGACTCGATCTGATTTTTGGCGTGAAGATATCGGATCATCAAAAACACCTGGTGACACGTGTCGGTGAAACGAGGGAACTGTCGAACAAAGTAGAGTGAGTTTGAAAATAACTCTTTCAGTCTTTGGTTTCTCTTTCATGTTTGTATTCGCCACATGTTGACGTGCGTGTAAACAGCGTGTGGTGCTTGTGTGTCCCGGGCTCACGCACCGTTCGCCGCCGTGCTCGTGGGCGACCCGTTCTTCTGCTTGGTGGTCTGCCTGCACTCCTTCATCCAGGGGAAGATCTGCTTGGCTAAGGCCGGGTTCGGGGGCAGCGACGAGGACGAGGACGAGGTGGAGGAGGCCGTGGACGAGCTGGAATTCGACGTCGCTTTCGCGGACGCCGCCCCCGCCCCCGCCTTCGCCGTACCCGTGGCGCCCCCCTGCTGCTGCGTGCCACCGCTGTTACTCGTCGTGTTCGCGGGTATCGGCGGCGAGACCTGCGCGCCCATGCAGCTCCCGTTCAGCTCCTTGCTCTTGGCCAGCGCCTGGTGCCCGCTACCGCCCCCTAGCGCTTGGAGTGAGCAGGCGGCGCGCTGGTAAGACTCCGCCTCCAGATGGGCGCCGTTGCCGGACTGGAAGCTGGCCGGGTGATGCGAGACCGCCCCCGGCACCGGCCCGTCGTACCCGCCCACGTAGCCGTTGGCCGGGCCCGTTGCCACGCCCCCTCCGCTCCCGCCGGGCACCTGGTAGGACGCGTACCCGCCCCCGAACAGCGTGGAGGGGTTGTCGTAGTAGGAGGTCTTCTGCATGGCGAGGACGAGGAGGAGGAGGAGGGCGGCGAGGAAGAGGAGGAGAGGGTGAGGAGGCGGGGAGGGGCGACTGCGTGTGCTGCTCCGGTCCTTGCTGTGCGCCACTCCCGGAAGACCATTTGGTACCGGGGGTCACGTGACGGTGCCTCTCCAACGGTCCCTTGCAATCTGACCTGTGAGGAAGAGGAGGAGGAGGAGGGAGGGAGAGAGAAAGAGAGAAAGAGAGAAAGAAGGAGGGGAGGGGGGAGAAAATGAGAAAAGAGATAAATCCATCTTCCTCAAATGAAAGGCGCCATGACATGAATAGAAACCAGTGCTTTTCTTCCCCCTCTCTCTCTCTCGCTCCCTCACTCACTAACCTAACCCCCCCTCCCCTCTTCTTCTTCCTCCCTCCTCTTCCTCACCTCTACACCCCCCACCCCCTGAGGACCTGAGAGAGAACAGCCCGCAGATGCTCCGTGGAGGAGATGGGGGCACGGGGAGGGCAAGCCTGCTCCTCCTGACACTGGAGAAGGGGCCAAGAAATGGACAAAAAAAAAAAAAAAAGTGTCTCTGTCCATTTTTTGTGCCAATAAACGTGATTATAAATGGTGTTTGTAATTATTTTTGTTTGTGTTATGTGTTAATGATTTATTTTGTTGTTCTGTCACTTGTTTTGTGTTGGTCTGTGATTTGTGTTTTAATTTATTTTGTCTTTATGGCTTTACATTAAATAGCATCTGGGGGGGTTGATTTATACATATACAGATGTAAAAAAAAAAAAAAAGAAAAGTAAAGAAAAAAAAAAAGGGAAAAAAGTACAAACCCCCCCAATAATAGTCAATAATAATCATCATCATCAAAATTATTATTTTATTATTATAAAATAATTATTATTATTAACAATGAACGATGCAACTAAAATACTCCCTGCATTTTGTTTCCTACTGTTTGGAATGTTTATATTATGATAATAATAATAATTAAAAAAAAAAAAAGAGAGGGAAGGATTATTAGGGAAGGATTATTAGGCCTAAATAAATAAATACATAAAGGCATAAATACACAAATAAATAAAATTATAATATATAAATAGTTCCCACGCCTTCTCGGGCCTGACACAGTTTTTTTTTTTTTGACCCATTGCTGACGAATCCAACCCGCATGCGTCACGTGTCGTTGTTTGTGCTCGGTTTTCGCGTGCGTAGCGTAACGACGGCGCCGTGTGACCGTGTGCGCGCGCGTGTACGCCGCTGCTGCCGCTGACTGGACTGGACTGGTGTAGCAGCAGCAGCAGCGGAGCCTATATATATATATATATTTGTGTCAAGCCCGGCCTCGTGTCTGTGATTTACTGAGCTCTGTCTGCGCCTCTCAGCTCACTCATGTCTCCACGAGAAGAGCGAGTACAACCGAGACCTGTGCGCGACGTGCCAGGCCTCTCCACACCACCGCGTCAAAATGCAACATGTAACCGAACCAAGATAGATAGATAGATAGATAGATAGATAGATAGATAGATAGATAGATAGATAGATAGATAGATAGATTACGCAATACGGTGTGGACATATCGCTAGTTGGACAATTGCGTAATTTGTGAAAATTCTGCGTAAATTGTGAAAAATATAAAATGATACGGATATAAGGCCAAGTATCAAGCAGATAGATAGATAAATAGTTACAAAGATAGCCAAGCAATTACGCACAGCTCGTATAGTTAACCAATATAGACCATTTTTACGCAATTACGCACAGATCCTAAAGTTAATTTGTGCGTAATTTGTGAAAAATATGACACGAATATAAGGAAACGTATCAGACATATAGACAAATTTATACATAGATAGATAGATGATAGATAGATAGATAGATAGATAGATAGAAGCAATTACGCACAGAACGTATAATTAATCTGTGCGTACTTTGTGAAAATATAACATGATACGAATATAAGGAAGCGTGTCAGACAGATAGATAAATTCATAGACAGATAGATAGGTAGCCAAGAAATTACGCACAGCTCGTATAGTTAACCAATATAAATCACTTTTACGCAATTACGCACAGGTCGTAATTGTGCGTAATTTATGAAAATACAATATGATACGGATAGATAGATAGATAGATAGATAGATAAAGACAAGCAATTACGTACATAGTTATCCAATATGGATCACTTTTACGCAATTACGCACAAATCGTATAGTTAATTTGTGCGTAATTTGTGAAAATATAAGATAATATAATATGAATATAGATAACATAGATAGACCTAATAACATACCTGATAGATATATATATAGATAGATAGATAGATAGATAGAAAGAAGCAATTACGCACAGATCGTACAGTTAACCAATACGGATCACTTTACGCAATTACGCACAAATCGTAAAGTTAATTTGTGCGTAATTTGTGAAAATATAATATAATATGAATATAGATAACATAAATAGACCTAATAACATACCTGATAGATAGATAGATAGATAGATAGATAGATAGATAGATAGATGAAGCAATTACGCACAGATCGTATAGTTAACGAATGTAGATGGCCTATAGATTACTTTTACGCAATTACGCACAGCTCGCATGGTTAATTTGTGCGAAATTTAAGGTAAGGTAACGTATCAGACAAATAGAAAGACAGACAGATAGATAGACAAGGGCAGACAAACAATTACGCACAGATCGTATAGTTAACGATCACTTTTACGCAATTACGCACGCACATTTTAGACGATCGCTCGAGTATATTGAGTGAAAACTGGACACAATGTACGAATATATGGTAAAATGTGAAATACTGATAACATTTAGGCACACAGTCAAAATACAGGCTCCACATGGCAAAATAAGTACGAAGATACAGGCCTAAATGTTTGAATACAACGAAAAATGTGGTTTATCGAGGCAAAACCAAAGGACAATGTGCCACTGCGAGTACAGTCTGCATCGCGCCATCTTTGTTTCCAATCTGCTCCACATTGTAGCGACAGCACCTTGAAGTTCTCACGAAAAAAGGGAAAAATAAGAAGACAGAGGAGGGAGGGGTGGTGGGAAAGGGGGGCAGCGAGGAGCGAAGGGAGGGAGGGAGACATGGCGGAAGGAGCAGCTTCACGACTCACTGGTCCATCCATCAGACCAGGGTCGAACGGCCACAGCGAGCGCACGCAGGGCTCTAGCGTGGCCCCCGGAGGGAAAAGCCCTTAGTTTAGAGCCGCTATCTGGGGGCTCCGAGCCGGGGTGGGCCAGGCCGGGCAACAGCGGTCACCTGGCATTCATTTGTCCAGATAACACGACCAAACGAGAGGAGAGGAGGCTGTCCAGACGCTGTTGAAGCGAAAATACGACTCAAAACATTTGCGAAGAGTGAAAGAATATACTGCAAAATTGTGGGCCAGTTTTAAATGACAAGTCTGTATTTTTCTGTATTATGTTTTAAATCTAAATCATCAAATACTACAAATATAAACCAGATTATAATTTTGAATCTATGTCCATGTATTGTAAAAAATCGGTTACTATTTGGATTTTAACGGTGCCATTTTACGCATGACAATTATAATGTCCTAACACCTTATATCGAGTTTTACGCAAGAATTATCCAACACATTATTAATGAAATAACAGAAAACGATGCCACTAGTATAGCTGGTTTAATATTTAACAAGCTATTAACAAAAGACACAGCCTAGTCAGTTGTGTTTTTCCAATTGTAAGGTTAATTAGTACCAAATCCCGCTCATTACGCATTGGACGCAGCTAAATTAAGACGGCTCCTCTCCCATTGTTCGTTCGCGAATTTGCCAGCCGCGGCGTAGCTCTCAGCACGTCACACATGTCACCCATTTATCTTTCTCCGAGACACCCTGGAATCCTAATGATTTACTCCGAGGAATAGCGAAGGAGCGGCGGCCGTGAGAGGGGTGGGGGAAAGCGAGCTGAGGGGCCGCGCTCTCGAGTGGAGGCGGAATACGTTATTAAATCATATCGTGTTTGGCCATTAAACGGGACAAGTCGCGTACGTGCCCCCTGCGCGTAAAGAACAGCCACGACAACGGCTTAATACAATCACCAACTTTTTTTTTTTTTTTTTACGCCTCCCTCTTTCCCACTTTCCCTCCTTCCCTCCTCCTCCTCTCATTCCCAGAGCTACCCAAAGCAAAAACTGTTACACCAGCGCCCAGACGGTGTCCACTGCCGTCTCTCTCCCCGCGCGTCTACCCGTTATCCGGTGATATTACGTTACCAAATGGCGCCTATGCGGGAAGACACGAGTACATTAACTTTCACAGTATCACGTATGCCATTAACAGACACGAGCTCGGCCTCTGGACAACAAGGGAGCGTCCTGAAAATCCGTGCGTAAAAATCATTTACGGTGAAATAAAACGGGACTGTAAACCGCGGTGGACACAAGATAGGAGCTCGTATTGTGAGGTTAAAAAGATGGAAGGCCAGAGGAGAGAGTGTGGGGGGGAAGAAGAGGAGGAGGAGGAGGAGAAGGAGGAGGAGGGGGGGTGTTACAGCTTACAGCATTGTGTGAACTCTTCCTGAACCGAGTTTGAAGTCATACGGGCCATAAATCAACCACGCTGCGCCTATGTAGCGTTATTGTTGTCCTCCTCTTCCACGGCCCTGGCCTACATCCACCGCTCGCCCGTTCCCCCCCCCCTCAATGCCAGCACAGGCTCGCCCCCTTTACCCCCTTTCACCCCCTTTACCTCTCCGTGCCTCTTAGCTCCGTCGCTGGTGCCGGTCCGACCCGGTCCGGCGCTGGCACCGCATCTCCACCTCACTCGTTTACGACCATTCGAAAGATCCGATTCTTTTTTCCTTCTCGGCGTCGTTTGTTGTGGTTGTTGTGCCCCCCGCGATAACGCAGCAGCAGCAGCGGCGGCGGCGGCGGCGGCAGCTCCCGGTGTGCACGCTATTATAGTCCCAACGTGAACAACATGAACGGTGGTGCTGTTGGTGTTGGTGTTGGTGGGAGCGGGCTGCGCGGATCGGCTCCCCCCCGTACGCCGAGGCGCATCAGCGGCAAAGCGGGGACGAGCGAAGGGGGGGCCGCGGCAGCTGTGTTGTTGTTGTTGTTCTGGGAGCCTATCTCCACCTAGCCTTTTGGAGATAGCTTGGATAGCCCGGGTATGTTGTGAGCGCAATGGTGGTTAGCTTTAGCGCACGAGCAGAATTAGCCCCCTTTTTTTTTTTTTTCTTCTTTCTTTCTTTTTTTTTTTTTTAAACCGGCGAGGAGCCAGAGCCAGTGCTGCCCCCCCTCCCCACCCCTCTGCCTCTCCAGCAGCACCTCCGCTCTCTGTGTCCTCCTTCTCCCCGGCGTTTGCCTCCTCTCTTCACGGCCACAGCTCGGTAACAATGCCCCCCCCTCTCTCCTCTCTCCTCTTTCCTCTTCTTCTTCTTCAGCAAACGCGTCCTTCTATCCGGGAGCTCCGACGGCCACCGGGTTCAGGCATCCCAATCCCAAACCGCGCGCTCTCCTCCATTCTCCGGAGCAGCAGCAGAAGCAGCAGCAGCAGCAGCAGCAGCAAAGGCAACAGCGGCGGTGCTCGGTTAGTATTCCATCCGCTTGTTTACACCCCAGACGCGCGAGGGGGTGAGGGCCGAGTTTTGTGGACTGACTGACTGACTGACGCGCGGATCCCCCTCGTCAAAGCGCTCAACGTCACCCGCGCGCCTCGCTTTTTCCCCCCCCCGTGACAGTATCAATCCCGAAGAGGGTGAAGACGACGGGCGGAAGGCGTTTTAAAGGGCGTGTAAGTGAATATATGTGCCAAATCTGAGTCACGGGAGGAGATGGCGAGGAAGTCTAACGTTGTATCATGTATCAAATCACATTATGGAGTTATAGACACGCGATACCCAGCCTAGAGTTGGGCCTGTAAGATTCGTACGTGCCCAAAAGAAAAGCTTTTAACTCATAACCTCCAACTGCAACGACGTATAGAACTTATAAGTCTATTTACATTCAGTTTTTACGACACATTTGCTCAAAAAACTCCATTTATAACACTTCATCAAACGTGTTTTTCTATTATTTAGCATTGAATTAAAGGCCAAGCTGATCCACACTGCAAAAAAACAAACTCTAGTCAAGTTAAGATGACTTGAATGAAGAAAGTTTCACCAAGATTTGAGTCCATTTCAGTTGACAAGTAAAATAATCTGCCAGTGGAATGAGATTTTTTGTGCTTAAAATGTGAAAATACATGTTGGGAGACTTAAAATAAGAAAAAATAACAACTTTTTGCACTTAAAAGAAGAAAAACAACACCATTTTGAACTTAAAAATCGAATGTTGCTTGAAAAAACAAAAACACACTTATTCCATTGACTTGCGAAGCTGAATTTACTCAAATAAAAGTAAAATATTCTTAATTTAAGTCATTTTAAGTGACCTGGATGTTGTTTTTTCCAGTGCATGGCGTGCGTATTGATATTTTGAGCCAATTAAAGACATTTAAATCAATTGGAAGCCCATTCTAACCATTTACTTGTATCAGAACGTTCACAAATTAAATCGAGTTTTTATTTTTGTTTTAATTGTCCAATCTAAGGTTTAAGTCACATTTTTCTGCTTTAACCACTTCACAGCACAGCTTCTGCTTCACACAAGTAGATATGATCGTGTCAAAGTGATATTAAAGGACGGTCTTGGTGCAGATAAGTCGTTTATAACAGTTTTGTGTCTCCTGTAAACTCCGTCGAACGCGTTTCGTATTATGTAAACACTGCGAATACCTCAGCGTTGCGTAACGACTCACTCCAGGCCAGACCGGTCCAAACGAAAGCTCACGGTGAGGGCTCGCCACTGAACTGTATCATAGCATCAAATCGCATTAGTGTTAGAGAGATTTAATGATATCAGGGCGGATAAGAGCGTGAAGTGGCCAAAATGAAGGGTCAGATCTCACTAATTACAACTTTACATGCGAAGTACGCCGCGTCAGGAATGTGAAACTGAACTTTTGGCACATTTTTAGTCAATCTAAGGCATACATAAGTGTTTTGTACGTCCTATAAACTCACTTTTATTATTTAAATCTATAAATTAACTTCATTTGGGCTCATTTCTGGAGCTGGTCCATGAAGTTCGCACTAATTCCAGCCTTTAAATTGCACCACAGTGTCCAAATCACATTAAAACCATTCATAAATAACACTTATAACTGCGTTTAAAAGATTTATAAGTGCGAAAAAGAAAGACTTAGACCTGGTTTAGACCTAGTTTAGACTTAGTTTAGACCTGGTTTAGACCTAGTTTAGACCTGGTTTAGACCTGGTTTAGACCTGGTTTTAGACGTGGTTCAGACAAGGTTTAGAACTGGTTTGGACCTGGGTTTCGACCTGGTTTCGACTGGTTTTAGACGTGGTTCAGACAAGGTTAGAACTGGTTTGGACCTGGTTTTAGACCTGGTTTAGACCTGGTTTAAGACCTGGTTTAGTGCTGCTTTTGTCCTGGTTTAGTCCTGGTATAGTCCTGGTTTAGACCTGGCTTTAGACGTGGTTCAGACAAGGTTTAGAACTGGTTTGGACCTGGTTTTAGACCTGGTTTAGATCTGGTTTAAGACCTGGTTTAGTGCTGCTTTAGTCCTGGTTTAGTCCTGGTTTAGACCTAGTTTAGACCTGGTTTTAGACCTGGTTCAGACAAGGTTTAGAACTGGTTTGGACCTGGGTTTAGACCTGGTTTTAGTGAAGTGGCCAAATCGTACTAATTTCAACTTTACATGCGAAGTACGTCCTGTCAAGAATGTGAAACTGAAATTTTGGCACATTTTTTGTCAATCTAAGCCGTACATAAGTGTTTTGTCTCGCCTAAAAACGTACCAAGATGCATTTTGTATTTCTTTTAAACTCACCAAACGCATTTTTATTATTTAAATCTGTAAAATAACCTTGTAAAGGCTCATTTCGGGATCTGGTCCATGAAGTTCGCACTAATCCAGCCTTTAAATTGCACCACAGTGTCCAAATCACATTATAATCATTCATAAATAACACTTATAACTGCGTTTAGAAGATTTAAAGTGCGTAAAAGAAAGATTTAGACCTGGTTTTAGACCTGGTTTGGACCTGGTTTAGACCTTGTTTTAGACCTGGTTCAGACCAGGTTTAGAACTGGTTTGGACCTGGTTTTAGACCTGGTTTTAGTGAAGTGGTCAAAATCAAGAGTCATATCCTACTAATTTCAACTTTACATGCGAAGTACGTCCTGTCAAGAATGTGAAACTGAACTTTTGGCACATTTTTTTGTCAATTTAAGCCGTACATAATTGTTTTGTCTCTCCTGAAAACGTACCAAGAAAAATCATTCATAAATAACACTTAATAACTGCGTTTAAAAGATTTATAAGTGCGTAAAAGAAAGGTCATCCTACTGTGTTTGTGTTGGAGCAATGCGGTTCGTACTTTACGCAATAAATCCCAAATCATCAATGGAAATAACTGAACTTTTAAGACACTTTTATTCAAGATTTGCTCAGTCTCGCTCATAAACTCAGTCAAAAGTGTGTGTATTTTTATTTTAGCATTTATTTTAGCGTGTTTAATCCCCCAGCAGCGCGCAGAGGCTCACTCCAGGCCACACCGGCTTCACCCAGATTGAGTTACAGAGTCACGGGGCGCGCGTAGCTGTAGGCCATGTGTTCCCTTGTAGAATAACAGCGCCATAACAGGAAGCAGATGCCATAAATTCATAATACGAGCCTTTATTGGCCAATTAGCACGCGCGTTACAAGAGCACACAGCCCTACACCGCGATGGTTACGTTCTGTCACGGTTTACGCGTGGGTTTTCGGTTCACGCAAAGGTCACAGGACAAGTCTTTAGGGAATATGTGGATGCGTTTTGCGTTTTTACGTCGATTTCAGCTTAAAATCTTGAGAGTGATATTCGAAAACGTGACCAAATGTTGAAGAAAACGCCACGAGTTCCCACGGATACGCACGGAATTCCCTTCTTATCTCACAACATTCCGAAGAAGTCTGGAGTTTTCCCCGGCGCAGATAAAAACTAAGAAAGATTTGGGAGCAATTAAATTAAATGTTTGCGTTTATATTTTTATATGAGTGTGTTTTTGGTTTTTGAGTGTGTTAAAAGATCGTACATAAGGTCATGCGTACGTTCAGTGTTCAGGGTGTGTTGTATGTTGAAGAATGGAGGTCACGTGGCTTGACTTTGGCCAATCAGAGGGCGTCGAAAGAAAAAAAGAAATGTGGCCAATGAGAAAAAAACAAACAAAAACGCGAACAGAGCAAAGCAAACGCGTAATACTGCAAAATAAATAAATAAATAAATAAATAAAAAGAGAAGCGCGTAATACTTCAAAACCCAAGCACGTAATACTTCAAAAAATAAAATAAAATAAAATTAATAAATAAATAAAAAACAAGCGCGTAGTACTTCAGAACCAAACGCGTAATACTGCAAAACAAAGTGCGTAATACTTATAAAATATTACAAGGAAACGAACTCAATGGAGGGCTACTACTACTACTACTACTACTACTACTACTACTACTACTACTACTACTACTACTACTACTGAAACTACAACACCTATACTACTACTACAATAACTACTACTATTAGTACAACAACTACTACTGCTAATACTGCTAATACTACTGCTACTGCTACTGCTACTACTACTACTACTACAACTACTACAGCAACTACTACTGCTACTACAACTACAGCCACTACTACAACTATTACTACAACTACTACAATTACTACAACAACTAGTCCTACTACTGCTACCACTAGTACTACAAATACTACTGTTACTGCTGCTACTAGTACTACTACTACTACTGCATTTGCTACTACTATTGTTACTATTACTACTTTCTCTCATCCTCCTACAACAACTAATTTACTTCTGCTACACCTACTATTCCAGCTACTAGTCCTACTACTAATACGACTGCTACTACTGCTACTACTACTACTGCTAGTGCTAGTACTATTAATGTAAGAGTACTAGTACTATTACTGCCTCTACTGCTGCTATTACTACTTCCTCTCATTCACATCCTTCTACAATTATTACGCTACTTCTGCTATTCCTACTACTGTTCCTACTATTACTACAAATACTACTAGTATTACTACTGCTATTGCTACTACTATTACTCCTACTGCTGTTACTATTACTACTCCCTCTTGTCCTCCAATAACAACTTCTTTACTAC